TTCCCTTGGTGAGCCACAAGCACCTCATTTGCATAGTTTGCCCCATCATTTGGTGGAGGTTAGACTGTTGGTTAGAAGGACCCTGTCCAGTAATTCACAGCACTGCCACCTGTAGACTGCTTTCCTAAGTCTTTGGTTTCATCCTTTCTTTTTCATCTGGGCAGAGATATAGTAACTATCTTACTTGGCCATTCACCAGCTTCTTCGACCCTAGGTGCTACTCACCACATGAGATGTAGAATGTATCAGATATTCTTAAGCCACTTAAGTTACAAAAGAGGGAACTTCATGGAATAATTTTATTACCCTTTTGTGGGGGGTTCTTAATTTTGGGGGGTTTGGGAATTTCTTTTTTTAAAAATCATTTTATTGGGGGCTCATACAACTATTTATTACAATCCATACATACATCAATTGTATAAAGCTCATTAGTACATTCATTACCCTCATCATTCTCAAAACATTTGCTCTCCATGTAAGCCCCTGGCATCAGCTCCTCACATTAATTTTTTTTACATTAATTTATTTTTTATTAATCATTTTACTAGGTGGCTTTTTGCAAATCTTCTAGCAATCCATCATTCAATTGTATTAAATGGACTTGTATATATGTTGCCATCAAGATATCCAAAACATTTTCTTTCTACTTGAGCCCTTGGTATCAGTTCTTGTTATTCCCCTCCCACCCTCGTGAATCCTTGTTCAATTATATATTGTTATTTCATGTCTTACACTGTCTGTTGTCTCCCTTCACCCACTTCTGTTCTATCCTTTTTAAATTGAACTCAGAAAGTTCATAGAACATTTCCATTTTGGTGTTGTGGGTTAGGCACTGGGGTGCTATAAACCCAAAGTTGGTGGTTCAAATCCACTAGCTCTCCACAGGAGAAAGATGAGGCTATCTGTTCCATAAAGACTTAATAGTCTTAGTCCCCAAGGTGCAGCCCTACTTTGTCCTGTATAGTTGCTGTGTGTTACAATTGACTTGATGACAACGGGATGTTTTGGGGGAGGAAGAGAAAGGGAAAAATTATTTAAATTTTTTGCTTAGTTTGTTTAGTTACTTAATATTTTGTGGGTAACTCCTAGGGGGCAAACAGAGGGAAATGGTAAGAAGACCCATTTTTTAAGAGTACAGTTCTGATAATTTTTTGGTAGATTTCTGAGAAGTTTATGCATGATTAGATTTCTTTTGTAGTTCAATTGGATCATAAAATGATTGGGATTATTTCAAATTATTCTTAAGTATGTTTCTTTATAGAAAACAGGAACTTCAGGCAAAATTTGTATACATTTTCCCCAAGTAGTTTTCTTTAAAAACAACAATAAAACAGCCTTAAACACTACTGCCATCAAGTTGATTCTGACTCAGTAACTCTCAAGGACATGAGGAGAACTGTCTCCCTGGTTCCCGAGACTAAATCTTTATAGGAGTAGAAAGCCTCATTTTTCTCTCGATGGTTTCAAACTGCCGACCTTGTGGTTAGTAGCCCAATGCATAACGCCACCATTTTGGAGCAGCTATTAGAAGCATGTAATGAAATAACCTTATAAATGTAGGTGTCTTAGAGTTCTTTGTGGGAAGGCAAGGAAGAGAACTGGGAGTTATTAATAGAAGGAATGTAATCTGGAGGTGTTAGCAGAGGTCATGCTCCTGTTTCATGTTGATAGGCCATTGTGTGGACTGTGAAGTTGGGAAGAGGCAGTTCATGCAAAGAGAATAAATACTCTGTTGATGAAGGCAGACATTTCAGACCTGATTCATAAAGCTTCCATTTTGAGCAAGGGTTAAAAAACCACATAAACCAAACAGTCAAGCATTTTCTCATTACTGTTATTTTAAGAGTGCGGCATGGTAATAATTTGCTTGCATTCCTATTGCAAATAACAAAATACCTGGATTGGGAATTGCTAGGGATTATTTTATACTTTATTATTTATTTTGGTAAGTCAAGAGTAAGCTTTTGAGTGAAAGTACTGTTTTGGATAGTACACGCACACAGACAGGAATGGGCCATCTCTGGAAAGCATGAAGAGACGTGGGGAGACAAGGCAAAGGGGAAGGGGAGTGGGAACAAAAAGCTAAACATAAAAAACTTTCTACATAAATTCAGCCATGATTTTTAAAAAGACAAAAAAATGTAAGTGCCTGAAATAGAGCATAGTACAAGCTTGAACATTTTCCTGTGTTGTGAGAATATTCTTCAGTGGCTTTAAGTCAGCTTGTTTGACAGATATGGTGTGGTGGAAAAATGGATGGCTGACTGACCGTGGTCTGTTTGAATGTTGGTACACATCTTTGTGAAATAGAAGTTATTTGAAGAACTTGAACTAGTTTGTAGAAGAGAAAAGTAGCTCTGAAATTTATTTCAGGTCTTTCCATCTATGTTTTTGTTTGATTTTATTGTCAATAGCTGTGATCCTCAGATAAAATTATAGATCTAACTTAGAGCTTGGAAAAACAAGATCATTTAGAATTAAGCCGGGAATGCTTCTACTTTTCCCAGACACAACAATTTTAAGATAGTTCATTAGTATACTTCTGTTAGTGTTCTTCTAGGTGAAGAGGGTCTTGGACATTATGCCATGAGAGAGTCTGATAATAAGAGCATTCAGTCCGTTGAATGTCCTTACAAATCTGAGACACATCAGGATAGACTAATGATGATTTCAGCAGTGTCAATTTGAGGTTCAGATGTTTCCAAATTGATATTTTAATTTGTTAGCTAGAAACTCCTGAGTTATGTTTTATGTTACTGTCTCTTAACGAGATATGTTTTAGAAAAGATTAGAGGGAGAAACCTTTTAATTAATATGCCTACTGGTTTTGTTGCTATTTGTTGGCAAACTCTGGAGTTGGTGACATTTTTTATAATGAAAACCGCCCACCACAGTCCTCTAAATATTGGGTGTAGGTGAAAACTCAGACATATAGTGCTGTCCTGGGTAATAGGCTGCAGAAGGTTGGCCTTTGAACTGGTTCATTCAGGTTTGACCTCTGCTGAGAATTTGCATTTCCATTGATCTACTGAGTTATACTCTATATTTTGACAAGTTTGCTTAATAAGCATCACCTGGGAATCTTGTTAAAATGTAGATTCTCATTTAGTATTGGGGGAGAGGGACTTCAGAAAGCCCAGGGAAAATTCCATTTGTCCACAAACTTTTTGAAGCCCTGATTGGAACCGAAAATTCTCAGCAGGGGCTCTACCTGAACAGGTTACAAACCCTGATATAAAGTGTTCCAGCAGTGCCGGAATGACTGCGGAGGCAGTTCAGTGCACTGCCACTGTTCTCTCTTTTAGTATCTTAATGTATCCTTATCCAATCTCAGACAGGAAATTCCCAGTGTTCTTCCATTTCTAGTCCTTAAACTAGACCAGAAGAGAGGGCATGCAAAACGTGAATTCCCCCTTTGAAAGTTGAGTTAGATTGCTTCCTCATTACCTCTGGCTTTGCAGCAAAGATGATCAGGAATTGGTCTTCGTTGAAAGCCTAAATCATAGAAGGCAAAAAAGAGTTTTTTGTTCAGCATCTCATCCTGTGACATTGTATTTGTTAAGTAGGATATTTATTAGCTTAGGTAGGGCTTTAAGAATATTTGACACCTCTGTTTTTGTTTTTTTTCATACATAAACACAGACAAAGATGGTAGTATTTTCCCCTTATCGCCCAACAATAGTTTTTTTTTTTGTCACAGAGAACCTTTCTCCAAAGAAAAACTGTCAGAGTTTAAAGTCATTTCGAGGATAACCAGAAATATTATCAGATCCCAGTGAGACTAGTTAGTACACTTCTTTGTGAGAGTGGACTTTAAAACCAAAATTACATTTGTTGTATCCTCTCTTTGTCTTGGCTTTAATGACAGTGTTCTCTATTATGTGTAATTACTATTGTATTGCATATGATATTTGGGAGACCTCTAGCTTCTTATCACTCTGATCAAAGAGGTGATACAATATACAATAAAATTAGATGCTTATGAGACTGACTACTTCATTGAGAAGGTGAATTTATTTGGCAAACTTGAATTTAGGTGTTGGACTCCTTTTCAGTAGTAACCAGAACTCTTTGTAAGAATATGCAGTAATTGTACAGTGAATTCTGTAAGGTCTGCCTGTGTACTAAGTGTGGTTCATGGTGCATCAGGATGGCAATCTTGTAGAAAATACCTATTTAATGCCAAAGACCTTTTCTTTCCAGGATTGGCCATTTGATGATGGAGCTCCACCCCCTAATCAGATAGTAGATGATTGGTTCAATCTCTTAAAAACCAAATTTCGTGAAGAGCCAGGTTGCTGTGTCGCAGTGCATTGTGTTGCAGGATTAGGACGGTAAGTTCTTACCTTTTTGTCTCTGACTTCATTATTATGCCTTATGGAAGTCAGCTGAAAATTTCACATTGGCATTTCTAAGACTAAATAGTAAATTGCCTGAAAGGAAAGGAAATGAGAGTAAAAACTGCTGTAATGATTCCCCAAGATAGGTTTTTTTTGGGGGGTGTCTCTGGCTGTCTGATTTTGATGCCATAGTAGGTTTAGGTGATGGTTCAGCAGTCCCTTTGAAGAAGCTGATGTAATGTAATTATCTTTGAGCTAAAAATAGTCTTAATTCAGTATTTACCCCCCCCCCCATCAAGTCTTTGATGTGGGCAACAAAATTAAAGGTATTTTAGAATTTGAAGAAGAATCTATACAAAGTTTATTCTTGAACTGAGATGATTGGGAAGTTATTAGGTAGAGAGCAGATGGGTGAACTTTACACTCTTGGAAAGGAGATCAATGAAGAATGAGAACTGACTTTGATGGAAACCCTTTTTCTGTAGCATTACTTGGATTGGTGTTGCATCATTCAGCAGCAGCAGATAAAATGCCAATTTATGATGTGCACTTTGACTCAAACAGCGCAGACTGCTGCTGCCTTTAGGTAGTGCTGGCTCAGACTGTTAGCTCTGCTGAGCCCTCTTGTTTGCTGTATTCCTGAAGGGTCAGAATTTCTGTCTTTATTCCGAGGCTGAGGGTAATGTAACTTAGAAGCTGTCTTAGGTGGTCTAAAGCTGGTGCCCTGTAATGTACTTAAAAAAACAAGCAAACAAATACACTAATTTGTTCCTTTGTTAGAATTATATATAGATAGCTAGACATAGAGAGCAAACTGCCTGGAATTAATTCTCTGGCCCTTTCCTAATTCACCAAGAGGATTTTGTTGTAGAAGTTTAGCATTTTAAAGTGTCTAATGAAGAAATGATATTAAAGTTAATTTGGGATGAAAATACTGAGGTGCTTGAAGTAATGAACTTGGTTATTTATTTTACTGTGCTGATAGGTAAGAATTCAGAGAAGAATTTTTGATTGACATAATAATGAGAAAATTTAGAGTTAATGTGACATTTTAAAGAGTAAAGATCTCTAATGGTGTTAGGATTTACTGCTTTACTAAGAATAGAGAATAATGGTAGAGATATTATACTGTAGAAAATCAGATGTTTCAGGAAAGAGGCCCAAAGCTTAGTCTTGCTCTGATAATATGTAATCTAGGGTTTTTATTGTTTTTTGTTTTAATCTTTTAATTCTGGTGACGTGTGGATAGTGACGAGTGGATTTTTCTCTGCAGGGCACCTGTGCTGGTTGCACTTGCTCTGATTGAGTGTGGAATGAAGTATGAAGATGCAGTTCAGTTTATAAGACAGTGAGTATGGGATTCTATGTCCAGAAACACAAAACCTATTGTAAGATCATACAGGAGGGGTTTTGGAATCCATTCAGTTGTAGAATAAGATAATTTGCCATTTTTGGCTTAGAACATTGAAGATTTAAAAAGAAAAGCAAATGTAAAGAGACTTAGATTTTGCTATAGGCTCCCAGTTTTATAGATTTTCTCATGTGAGTGGCAAATTTGGATATTATAGAACCTGTCCTGTGTATCATTTGAGAATCTAGGGATCTTGAAAGCCAATCAGGGGTCCTCAAACTTTTTAAACAGGTAGCCACTTCACTGTCCCTCAGATCGATCCGTTGGAGGGCCAGACTATAGTTTAAAAAAAAAACTATGAAGAAATTCCTATACACACTGCACGTTTCTTATTTTGAAGTAAAAAAACCCAAATGGGGCAAAAACACCGGACGGGCCAGATAAATGTCCTCAGCAGGCCGCAGTTTGAGGACGCCTGATCTAGATATTAGGGTCTTGTTGCTCTTGGGTTCCTTTTTATGAGTGTAATTCTTAGACCCTGTGACTAAGAGGCATGGAAAAATCGACTGAGGTGCAACTCATCACAGGACTCCACAATGACCTTTTCTGGCGCAAAATCAAGATGATGATATCCACACGGAATCTTGGCATCAGTCTGGAATAACGGGACATGCTATTTTGTTGTGCAGAATTCTTTGGCAATCATTATCTTGCCCTTTCCCTTTCATTCCTTTTTAAAAAAAGGTTATTTGTGGCAGAAGGCACCAAATGATAGCAGATCTAGGAACAGAACGTATTTTAGAGAATGCTATCTATATATCCTGAGCACACTTTTTCAACTTCATGCTGTTTTCTTTAACATCCTACATACTTTGCTGCCGGTTCTAATCTGGAGAATTTATTATTGATTTTGGAAGAGAGTATATATCTAAGGACAAACCATTCTTAACTTTATTAAACCATCAATAGACTCTAGTGAAAGTTAGTAAAACAGATTTGTCTCTCCGAAGGCTCAGAAAGTTGATGCCTCAGACGAGCTATTTCACTTGAAGAAATAGTGTTGTATGGGAAGTACGCTGGTTTCCAGCTGTGTGTGTTGAAGTTAGAAAAGCCTTGAGCCCTAAAAATATTGCACTGTAGTGAATCAGGCCATTCTTTCATATGCTAAAGCTACCATTCTTGTATTTTCAGAAAAAGAAGGGGAGCGTTCAATTCCAAACAGCTGCTTTACCTGGAGAAGTACCGACCGAAGATGCGATTGCGCTTCAAAGACACCAATGGGCATTGCTGTGTTCAGTAGAAAGAGATGTCAACGAAGGCTGGCTTGAATGTGGCAGTTAGAGGGAACTCTTGGTACCTGGAAATGTGAATCTGGAATCTTAACTGTGTCATCGAAGTAGTGATGGATTCAGTTCTCCTCAACCACTCCTAATGATTGGATCACAAACAAAAATGAAATCCCTCTATAACGTGAATAAAATGTGTAAGAAAAGAAAAAGAGAAAGGAAAAAGGGATTAATTCGGCGAAGGACGAGCTTGCTAATGTTGGCGTTTGAATTCCTGCCAGGATTGAATTATTAAAAAAAAGTATTTTTTCTTTTTACCTTTACAAAATAGGTCTCTAAAGGAAAACCAGCAAAGATTAACCTGTACAGACCATCTGTTGGGGGCACATCGCACTCCCTGCAGCCGGCTGTCTTTTCTTTTTCTTCCTTTAATTTTCGGAGGGGAGGGTATAGTTCACCCCTCTTTTCTTCTTCCTCCCTCCCTGATACAAGTTGTAGACGGAATAGGAGAAGTCCTTGTGGCTGTAGATGTGCATGCAATCTGGCAGCCTTAAGCCTACCCTGGGCTCTTATAGAAAACAAAACAAAAGAAAAAAAAATACCAAAAAAAGAAGAAGGTGGGGGGGTGGGGGGGAGAAGCAGTGACTTCCATATTATATGATCCAGGTGGTTTTTAGTCTGTACCGATAAGGATATTTGTGTTGCTTTCTTTGTGAAAATAATCCAGCGTTAGTCAAAGTAGCCAAAAGCCACTTGGTATTGGATTTGGTAAATTAGTGGGGAAGTAGAATTGTAAAAGAGGAATTTCTCTTCTCAAGAATTTAGCTGAGAGAATTGAATTTCTTCCCTTTTCCAACCAACGCAGTTAAGTGGGTGACTCGGCAGCCTTTGTTTTCTGAAGGGAGGACTCTGGGGATCGCTAAAGGAGTACCTGGGCAGAGCCAGCTCTCAGTCTACACCTCATAGTACTTGGTATCATTGCTCAGGTCTACTGGCCAGTGACATCACCAGAGAATGCTGGTAGTTCGAAATGTTAATTTCAGACCGAGTTATACTCAATTTTCAGAAAACGGTCAAAGGAGTAGGAGCAAAGACTCACTATTTTGGACGTGAGAAATGCCTGTGATGGGTATTTTCCAACCTGCCCCTGGTATGTACAGTTCAGTTTTAACCACTGATTGCCTTGTTATTTTCTTACTAGGTTCTTTTTGAGATAAAAAAAAAAAATCGCTGGTTTAAAACCAACAATGCCTAGTGAGTTTGTGTCCCCAGGCCATACAGGGTAGAAGAGAAACAGAGCAATTCACCGACCGAGTAACAAAGAGGAGACTGTATTTTTTGTGCAGTGGGGTAGTCGTGTTAGTACAGATCCTTTGCTTGTTCAGTGTGCTCAACTAGACAAGCTGTTTCTGCCCCTTTGCTGGGGCAGGTGTGGCCAGGCTGCACTGACAACACAAGTTGAGGGGCACCATCAGGAGCTCTTGGGCTCTTTCACCTAAATAGTACATAGATAGTAGTGCTCTGCTTTGAAGGCTCTAAATACAGGTTTGGGGTCGTCTTGTCCTGCTGGAATTTGCTGTGCAGAGCCATAAACTTCCATTGTTTTCGGATCAGGCAAGGCCAGTGGGGGATGGACCAGGACCGTGTCTCACACTGATGATACCTCAGATATTGGCCGGCTATATGAACTGCCTATTTTCCATTGCCGGAATTCTTGATTTTTAACTAAATGGAAACATGTAGATTTTCTTCTTCTCATCCCAGAAAGCAAAACAAAACAATGCTTTTTGAAATTGTTTCTAGGCTTTTAAAGTGAAAAATAATGGTACTGTCCCAAAATGCGTTTACTTCCAGACACGATGGTAAACTCCTTTATCGTAGGCTGAAGATCACCTACCCGCTAAGCTCAGATCGACTGTCTGCTGACTCCAAGGGTTTTGATCAGTACCACAGCAAGCCATTTCCCATTGACATGCTGTGAGTTTTATGATTTGGGGTGTGTGTGTGTGCGCGCGCACGTGCTCAGTGTCCAGTCAGTATCAGTTCCTGCCTGAGTTAGGAAAATTACATTCCTGGTTCTGTGTGAGGAGAAGGGTGTATAGGCAACATGAACTATTAAGCCCTCATTTTGTTTGAAATTACAGACTGATGTTAATTGTTCTCAGAACTGGATTTTTTGCCCCTCAGAATTAGACCTTTTTTTCTTCCTTCTGGATTTCATGAAGTATTGCTAGCTAAAGCCAGTTTGATATGGTGAGAGAGATGTCAGACTGATAAGGAGGTGTGCAGCCTGATTTCAAACCAACCCCCTGAGCCCTTTTAAAGAACAATAAAACATATTTTACATGCTCTTTGTGCATTTGTTGATTTCTCGTCTGCTTGGGAACTTGCGTGTTTTCAGTTATCAGCTTACTTCAAGTGAAGTGAAATGAAATTGGGAGTTCAAAGATTTGATGGGCAAGCTTAATGCAGTTAGGGCTACATCTGGTCTATTTCCTGGTTTGGTTTTGGTTTATGGACACACTGTAAGGATTTAGCATTTTGTCTCATTCCAAAGGATTTGTTTCCATCACAATTAAAAAAAAAATTTTTTTTTAACAGGGAGCTTGTACAATCCATAATTCATTTAGGTCAAGCATAATTGTAAAGTTGCTACCACAGTTAGTTTCCAAACAGTTTCTTCTCGAAACTCCTTGATAGCAGCCCCTTTTATCCCCGCCCTCCCTGCCCCCAAGGGGCCTTATTGTTATTTATTATTCTTTTAAATGGTTTTTTTGGCCGTATTTTACTCCATCCAATAAATCCATGCACCTACAATTCTGTTATTCACTCCCCTCAAGTGGGATTATACAGTCATCCTTGCTGTCAGCCCTCTCCTCCCACCTTGCCTCCTCCCCATATCCTCAGGGAGTCATTACTGCTGTTACTGTTTCTGAAGGGTTACTGGTATCTGTTGTGGTTTCTTGCATTGAACAGTTAATAATACAAATGGATCTACCCAGGTCTAACAAGATCTAATGAAGTAAAACAAAAAAAAAACCTAATAGTAAGGGGAGGAAATATTAAAAAAACTAGAGTAGTTACGTGTTCAACCAGTGCTAAACTATCCCTTTTGTGTGGCCCTTCTGTGAGGTATTGTCCATTTGTCTTGCAGGTGGGATTTGGATCTCCACTTTGCCCACACCCCTTCACATCTATTTGATTGTTTGTGAACTTCTGATACCCATTCCTGTCAACACCTCATGATCACAGGCTGGTGTGCTGCTTTCATGTGGGCTCTGTTGCTTCCTTGTTACATGGTCACTTGATTAACTACAAGCCTTTAAGACCCCAGACACTAAATAGCCAGGTACCATCAGTTTTCTTCACCACATTTGCTTATGCACCCATTTTGTCTTGTGCGATCATGTCAAGGAGGTAAGTATCATGCAACACATTAGAACAAACTGTTTAGTACTGAGGTAAGATTTAAGTGGAGGCCCAAAGTCCATCTGCTACTTTGTGTTTATATATACATGTATAAATAAAGATACCACCAAAAAATATACCCACATTTATGTAGTTACATATATACATATCTATGTATATAATTTTTACTATTTTTCTTCCCTCCTGCCCCACTCTCATGTTCAACTTTAATTCCTCTTGGATGCATTTTGATCAAACAGGAACTGGAGTGCTACACCCTCCTCACCGTCAATTTTAGAACCCTTGCTATTACCCTGTCCCTGTTGTGGCTCAGTGCTCACCTCCCTCCTCCGCCTCCTCTCCCCTGCTTCTCATTGCTGTCTCACCTTGGGATTGCTTAGTCTTGCCTATCTTGTATAGATCGATACCAGTTAAAACAATCATAAAGTTTCAAGTCTAACTGGTATCCTGGCCCACGGTTGATAAAATCCAGCAGCCTGGCCACCCCCTTTTCTTACAGGGTTCCATATCCTGGGTCCCGCTCACCTAGCAGCACGTATGCCCTGTTCTCAACACATGTCCGAAAAGTCTGCATCCTACAAATCCTCATTGACCTTTTGCAGTCAGGGATGGAGCCGTCTGGTGTACCCCACCTCACCAGTGTTAACACCTTTAGGCTTTTAGTATAGCTCCTTTGTGAGTAACTCCCAACCAGAACAGATGAGGTGCCAAATGCTGCCCCTCCAGTCAGAAGTCTATGATGGGGATTCCTCAGGGACTTGGTGGCTTTGCTCCCATTGCTGGTCTGTTGCACTCTCCTCTTGGTTTCCCGCCATGTGAGTGGGTCAGACTGGCTACTCTCCCTGAACTGTATCTTCAGGGCTGTCCTGCAGCGCTGTCATCTAGGGAGGGGACATAATGTCTCGGGTTGATGCTGACCCTGCAGTCCTCAGTGAGCTGCTCTGAGCAGGAACATAGCCCGTCCTCAGGGACTGGCGCACCTGTTGGAGGTCTGCTCTCCCTTTCCTGTGGAGATATAAACAATACCCTCTCCTTGACTGGATTAGTGACCTGGCTTCCCATTTATGTCTCTCTTTTCTTCCCCCACCCCTCTTTGGGCCTTAAAGGCATCTGAGAGGGGGTGTGGAGGAGGGCAGTGACTCAGTACAGGTGCTATCTGGATCTTTTTTTTTCTGATGGTGTATGCATCACTGAGTTTGGTGTGGCTCATACCAGAGTATCTGACTGGTCCTCAGCCCAGGAATTATGTGTTAAATGCATTTTTCTTTGCCATCACAAGTTTTGATAAAAGCATTGAAACTTTCCTTGAACTCTTAAAGAGCAGGGAGGATATAGTAAATTTGTACATCACAAGATGTGGGGCTGGGAATTTCCCTTAAATGCTGGCCGAATAGCTATCCCATCTATCCAGCATGTTTCTGTGCTAAAGTACTCGGAATGAGAAGACACCGCCCTGTTTTGGAGGATCTCAGTCTAGATGGTGGTGTCAGACGTAGACGTAAAACAGTTGGTGGTCAATTTGTTGATCTGACTTATTTTTCACCTCCCAGTGTAGCTTCTTCATCACCTGGTTCAGTCTTTGGTCCATTGTTAAAAATCAAGTTTGGTTGCACAATCGATAGCCTTACCCTTTTGTTGCCTGGCTAGACTCCATTGTGGTTGACTTCTCCACCTTCTCTGCCCTTACACTTGTGCAACTGAAGGTGCTGATTAGACTTCTGTTTAAAGTCATGATCTCAAATGAACCGTACTACACCTGGCGGCCCTATATTTCTATTTACTCTTTCTAAGAAGAATCTTTTTTTAAAGAATCTTAAAATTTGTTTTCTTTTTTTTAATCGTTTTATTAGGGGCTCATACAACTCTTATCACAGTGCATATATACATCAATTGTATAAAGCACATTTGTATATTCATTGTTATCATTCTCAAAACATCCGCTTTCCACCCAAGGCCCTGGCATCAACTGCTCATTTTTTCCCCTCTGTCCTCGCTACTCCCTCCCTCATGAACCCTTGATAATTTGTAAATTATTT